CAGCATTAAAAATAATGCTTAATGATATTCTTCTTCTGGCCATCTTCCCAGCATTCAGCCTCAAACACCGCAACTCCCATCGGCCCCAGGCTTATGGGTATGGCAGTCCAGACACCTGGGTAACCTTAATCAAGGAAGGCTGTTTGGCAGGACCTCCCCAGAGGCCCCTTACCTTCCTGCTCCTTCTGCATCATTACAATGAACTGTTGCCCCAGGTGAGCGGCCGGCAGATGACCCAGAGGGACGCCCTCCGTCACAAGTGTGAGGACGTGCTGGCCGCTACCGACCGCCTGCCGGAGGGAAGCGTCGGCTGGTAGAGTTTCCACAATTTCTCCCGAGACAGCTGCAACGATGGAGGAGGAAGTCTTTAAACCAGTGTAAAATCGAGACTCTAAAGATTCACCAAAAATTAAGGCTCTGCTGGACATTTCTAGAAAATGGCAGTTTTTGCTTTTTTAAAAAATAAAATAAAATAAAAATGTCTTGCTCTCCTGGTGGAAATAAAGCACAAGCGATTTGAAGGAAATTTAAGGTTTCTTCCCTTAATTACGAATGGAAAATTGCGTTATTCTAAAGCTTGTTTCTCAGCCCTGACAGCTCTAAGACATGTGGACTTCAGGCTGGCTGGGGAATTCTGGGAGTTCATGTCTTAAATTTGCTGAGGTTGGGAAAACACTGCCCTAAAAACTTGACGCTCTTCTTGTTTCAGACGTGACTTGCAAAATTTCTAAAAAGAAAAAAAAAAGCTTTTTGTGTCCAACTGCAACCCACCCATGTCAACACTCCCTCTGCCAGCCTGATGGCCCCTTTGAACCCACCAGGAATTTGGTTGGCACTGGAAATGGGGCCAGAGGCCTCTGCAATGGCCGCCAGGGTAGCAAGGACAGAGGTGGCAGAGTCTAGAAACCGCCCCCTGGAAACAATGGAATCTCCTACGCAGGGAAGAGAGAGAGAGAGAGAGAGAGAGTCAAAACATGAAAATGCTCCAGAAGGAGGTGGCCCTCTTAACACCTCTTAACAAGGTGGGCCCCTATTCCTGCCCCTTAGCCAGGGTTGGAGGGAGGGATTATGCTCCAGCCTGAGGTTGCTTTGGTATCCACTGAAGAAACGAGGCTGGCCAGGTTCAGCAATTCTCCGGAAACCAGAATGAAGGGCTGGGTCACCGTCACAGAGCCTGGGACATCATGCAGCCTCTCGGGGTTGGCGGTGACTAGATTCTGCATCGCTTCCTGGAAAAGAGAAAGCCTTGGGGGCTTCATGGAGCCAGGCCAAAAACACCTCTTGGCTGCCAGAGCAGAGAGCCACGGTGCAAACAACTCAAATAAGTACCCAAGTCCAGTGTCCTCGTGTGTCCTGCGCAATTAAAGCCAGAATCCCAAAGATTCAGCCCCAGATGACAACTAAACCACTTTTGAGGGACACTCAAAAGACCCAAAGCTGGGATTTCGGCCCACCTGCAGCAGCAACAGAGTTTCGGGATTTTTCTTGTCCAAAGCGATGTCGAAAGCGGACTTGCCAAATTTGCTGAAGGCGTGGACGTCCGCCCCGTGTTTGAGAAGCAGCTCGATGACATCTCGGTGGTTGTGTTCGGTGGCCCAGTGCAGGGCGGTCATCTTCAGCATGTCCTTGGCGTTCACGTTGGCGCCGTTCTGGACAGGGAGACACCGCCAAGCGGATGAAAACCGTTTGGGCAGGGCGTGGAGAAGCCTCGGCCTGTTTATGAGGCCTACAAGGAAACCCGGAAGGCCACCAAAGGCGCCTGCTTACCCTGACCAGCAGCTCGACAACGTGGCAGTGACCATCCGCAGCCGCCATATGGAGGGGCGTCCGGTTCACCTTGGTCCGAGCATCTCGACTCACTCCGGCCCGGAGTAGGACTTCAGCCGTCGAATAATGGCCGTGCTGAGCGGCGAGATGAAGGGCCGATATTCCCAGCTGTTGGACAATTAAGCAGGAAGATTATTATCCTTGGCTGCCCTCCGTTCCTTCGCGAAGCCACGACGAGTTTCTCTGTCTTCATCTCCTTCTTCCGTAGAGGGAGGACTCCGCTTGAGATAAACTTTTTCCATCTTATCTCTTGAAATGGACAGTCCTGCTGTCCCCGCCTGACCTTCCTCCCCACCTCGGTGGCTTTTCCACCCTGGACTTACCCAGTCAGTGGTGAAGGGGGCTCCGTTGGCCATCAGCAGCCTGACTTCGTCATCCTGGCCTTGGCGGGCCGCTTCCAGGAGCTTCTTCCCCAGGTCCACCAGTGACATCTTTATACAGGGGAACAGATGATTTCAAACATCTGGGGGGAGAGAAATCTCACTGGTTTGGACTGGGGGCGGCGGGGGAGGAGGTCAGCGGTGGGTCTGAATGCCCCCCTGCCTCCCTTTTAGGGCCCGGCTCTACTCACAGCTGGAAAGAGGCGCCTGGGCCATTGCGTTCCTCGCCTGGCGTCCTTCTCTCTGCAAAATCTTAGCAAGAAAGACAAGTTTGGCTTTAACCTTCGGACATTGCGGTTGCTCCATCGCTGGAGGTTTTAATAAGAGATTGGACAGCCATTTGTCCGGAATGGGAGTGGGCATAGGGCAGGGGTGTCCAGTTGGACCAGAAGATCTCCAAGGCCCCTTCCAACTCTGTTCCTCTGTTAACCTCAACCCAGGAGGGGAATTAAGGGAACGTAGCAAGGATGAGCCCAGCCAAGGAGCAGGAAGGGGAGGTGGGTGGGAGTTGTAGTCCTCATGGCTGTGCCACTCTAAAGGGAAGGCCACCCGGTCCTGCCACTGGGGATGATGGGAGCCGCAGCCTTTGCGGCTCTGCTGGTTGGTGGATTATGGGAAGTGCAGTAGAAAAGCTCTGGAACCCAAAAGAAGAGGAGTAGGGGCAGTGCAACCCAGGCACCTAGGGTGGGACAGAACAATGGGCGTTGTAGTCCAGCCCTCGGGGTGAGGGGGGGGGTCCTTTTTCTCCAGGCCCCGTTAATCCCACCCCCAGACCAGGACTCACCCTGGGGGTGTGGGGCTCCCCGTGTCCTGATCAGCCTCTTTTGGAAAGTTCTTCGCGCTCCGGAGGAAACGGCGATAGGAGGGGGGGCTGTTTTCAAACGGACGAGCCGCTCCCCCCAACGGGAGAAAAAAAAGTGGCACACCCGGAAGTATCTCTGATGGGGGAACCTTTAGGGTGTGACACACACAGCCTCGCTCTTCCGGCAACGGAAAGGAAATAGGTTGGGCGCGGGTGAGGATGCTCTGCCCTTCCACCTCTCTATGGTAGGGGCGAGGCCGACCGCGTTCTAACGCTCCCTGAATGGAGGCGCTCTCTCCCTCCGCATCTCTATGGTCAGGCGCCTCCTGCGGAATCACCAGTAATGCCCAGAATGGCATAAAAAATGTCCGTCTTGTTGTGTGTGTTGATTTTATTGGCGGGGGGGGAGGGGCAAAAGCAGGGGTGGAAACCCAAAAACCATCATCCTAGATCCCCACTCCAATGAAGCCCCCCCCAGCGTTGGACTATGAGTCCCATCTTCCCCAGCCGTGTGCACTGCAGCATTAGATCAGGGACGCCCACTGGATATGACCCTTTTCGAAATTGAACCCTTGGCAAAGGGTTTGGACTACTGCACCCATGTTCCCTAGCCGCCCCCCTGCTCAGGACTGCCTGACATGCCCCCATCCTGGATGGCAGCCCTTCTGGTCGTTCCCCCCTCCCTCCCAAAGCCCAAGTGGGCACAATCCCAGATGCAACACGCTGACGATGTCACATGTGGAGAATATGAATGCATGGATGAGCTGTGGTGACACGCGTGTGTCAGAGACCCAAAGGACCCACGGAAAATCCATGCTTAGGGCTGGATCGGAGGCCGGGGGCTTCACAGTTGCCTCTTTCTGGTGGTCCTTTGGATTTGGACCTGACCCTGGTTTTAAAACAGAGCTGGGTTTTGAGCAATTGCTCAGAGAGGAATTGTGTGAGTCCTGTCCATTGACTTCCCCATCTCTGGAGAAGGAAATAAATAAAGCACCATTGGTCTCCAACTCATCCCTGCACCCCGAGCTGGGACCGTTTCCAGAGTCTCTGTATACCCTCGAGCAATTGGACCTGAATAGAATGATTCGGTTTCGCATCCATCGGCCCTTTTTTCATTTCCCTGTTTTACAGAAGATATAAACGGTTCTCCCTTCCAGGATCCATCTTAAAAAAAAAAAACTCCCCCCCCCACTCCTGATGTTTTAAGCTCCCGCCAGCATTCAGTCCACCAGCTGTGAAAGTGAGGGAGCCCGTAGATGCCCACATGTGCTGACTTGTGGGAGGGGGGGGATGATACTTTGCTATCCTTCAGATCCCTGTGAAAAGAATGCCAGACCCTCCACTGCCATATTTTAATCGGATCTCTTTCTTTGCCCCACAACAGGAACAGCCCAATTTTCTTCTATGCATCATCCCTCCAATTTTTAATTCCCTGCCATTTCCTTCCTTTCCCAGGAAAAATAAGGGGAGGTTGTACAAAACTTACCCCCACTCAAATAAGCCTCTCAGTCCGGGATTCTTTTAAAGTGAAACTTGTGCTTCTCCTGCTGGCAGGAGATTTTCGGCCAAAGGAAAATAATAATAATAACCGAACGAGCCAAATCATTGCAGGATGGATTTGGGCGCAACATCGCCAGTTGCTAACCCCGGTGGCTGATCAGTCCCACATGCACAAAAAGGGAGATTTTTTTTTTATTCATTTATTTTTAAATTCCTTCTCCTAGTCCTCCTGGACCCTGGCAGATCTGGGGGGCTCTGGGGGAGGGGGTGGAGAGATACAGTATTTTAGCAAATACACTCATACCAACGTGGACAGTCCACTTTAGATTTATGGCAAGTGATTCAGACACATGAGCTCGTGGAAGCGCGAACACGGCACAGAGGAACCACAGAGAAGTTTGGGAAGGGAGAAAACACCACCAGGAAAGATGCAGTTGGGGGTATAATTTAAAAAAGAAAAAAGAAAGATTCGTGGCTTCCGCCAGGCTGCCGGCCTTCAGAGGAGGTCGAAATCTACAGGGCTGATGCTTGCGATGGGGGCTCTCCAGAAGTTGAAGCTGCTGAAGGGGAGCAGGGCCTTCTCCGCCTCTTCTGGCTCCCCCAGGCTTGGCTTCTGGCTCTTCTGCTCGGACACGAGGCTGCCGAGGCCCCGTTTGGGCTTGAAGAGGGCGAGGTCGGCCAGTCCCAGGCACTCCAGTTCAGAAAGGTCCAGTTCAGGTATGGGCATTCTCCAGTAAAGGAAGGAATCGTACTGGGAGGTGATGGTGTCCCTCATTTCTTCCTGGGGGTGAAGAACAGGAAAGAGGCAACACAGGTGGCCTTAACGCGTTTTTGAGATTTTCATGGTATAATACAGGCAAGTCCTCGACTTGCAATGACAGCTGAACCCTAAATTTATGAGGCAGTTGGTAAGCGAGCTTTGCCCCATTTTACAACCTTCCTTGCCATGTGAATCACTGCAGTTCTTAAGTGAGTCACATGATTTTGAAATGAATCTGGCTTCCCTCCCCCTGTCAGAAGGTTGACCCTCCCTCCCCGGGACTCTGCGCCTGCCATAAATACGAGTCAGTGGCCAAGCCGCTGAATTGTGATCATGGGATCGTGAGGATGCTGCAACAGTCGTTAAGTATGAAAAATGGCCATAAAATGGTTGTAATGTTGGTCACTAAATGAACTCTTGTTAAGTCAAGGTTTGCTTGTATCTGTTTCTGAATTGGGAGCCGCCCACCCACCTTCCTTCCTTGTCTCTTTTCGGTGGTCCCTGCCATGGGCTCAGTGACAGATTTTTCTGCAATAATTATTCCCCTCTTCCCTTGCACATGTGTGCATCCCCCCCCCCGCCCTCCCCATACAGGCCTGTTTCTTTGGAGTGGCTGCTTTGCCAGCCTGGTTGCCTTCTGCCCCCTCTTTTTTTTGCCAGTTCCCCAGGGGACCCTCTCCACTGCCATCTCTTCCCCCTCCCTCTTCCTTTCCTCCATCAGACCCTTTTAAAATGCCCAGCCATCCTCTGGTCCTTAAGGAAGGCTTTGCCAAGCCAATCCAGGCTGGGTTTATTTTACTCGGTGGCGCGTATGAAATTACTTAGACATCTGTCCTCTTTAAATATAGCATCTTTAGCAGCCTGTTCGGAAGGAGAGATATTTGCCTCGCTCTATTTGTGTGCTGGAAACATTTTTAGAGACTTATTTTATCCCTCCTGGAGGTAGAGAGATGGCTGAATGACTTGGCAATATTCAAAAGGGAGGCATGCGTCCAATAAACAGAAAAGAGACTGGGAATGGTTGAAATTCTGAATCCCCTCTCCTTTGGGGGTAGGTGGGACTGAATTCCCCCAACTGATTTTAGGGAGGGAAAAACCAAGACGAGGAGCCCGTGAAAAGGACTGAGGTTTGGGGTTTTAAAAGATGAATTAAAGGGGCTCATGTCACCATCAGATTTGTTTATCTTCCAGCCTCTGAAATTGACAAGATGGAAGAAAATGGCATTTTCTTTTTTCTTTTTTTAAAAGAATGTTTATTTTGAATCCTTGAAACATTATAGTATATAGAATTGTGTGACATAAAACAGTTTTACAAGGGCTTCAGCTATAAGGTTGCAAAGAAATAGGAAAATGACATGAAATTATGTATTACATTGTGTCAGGGTTTTCTGGATCTCTAGTAATTTAGAAAGGAGATAGATAGAT